ATCTTTGGGTGAAGCAGAAATGCAAATCCTCAGGTCTTCAAAATGACACCATTACAGTAAGGATTTTGTGTGTCATTTTTCTATACAATCAAAATGTGTGTGTGTGTGTGTGTGTCTGTGTATGAAGACAGTAGGATATTTGGGGGGATGCTTTTTTTAATGTAAACTATCTGTCAGGGATGTCCTAGAGCTATTTATAGTCTGTCTGCCTACACTGGTTCCAGTTTGCAAGCTCCCTTTTCTAACTTCTCACATGTGGGTGAAAATCAAGATGGTTTTCAACCTGTATGGCATTTTAATGACAAATAACAACATAAGGAAATATGACAGAAGCATTTAGTGATGGTATAATGGACGCTTTATCCTCAGGCAAGAAATCTATTACACTTTAACATAGTATCTTTAACTGGATAACAGACATGAAAAGGCAGGCACCTGGTAGAGGAACTGGGCTTCCTCAACAAAGCAGTTAACTCCCCAAGCTAATCTTTGGATCCCAGGGATCCAGAGGTTTTCTCCAAACTGGAGGAAAGCAAAGCTATTCTTTTCAAAGCCATTCTTCTCAAAGGGAGTAAGAAGTACAAAACAGAGTCAGTTATGTAAGGTTCTCTTCCAAGTTCTTCTCTGCAACCTCTTGTCATGACAAATACAACAGCCCTGTTGGACTTCCCACCTCCCAGATGCTCAGTCCTAACTGCATCATGGTGACTCAGGCTGCACAGAAAACAGACCCTCTGGTCCCCCATCGCCACTGCATCCCTTCTATGCCCTGCAGCGGTATTTAATGAACAGGGAGCTGTGATGTACTGTTGGTTGGGGCAGGAGTTCTGGTGCTTTTGCTTAGTGCCATTTAGTCTGAGAGCACCTGTGGAGGACGATGGCATGTTCTTTCCAGGAGTATGCACATTGTCTTGCTCGCCACAGAGGGATTGCCACTGCACAGATGAGAAATTTGGTTTTCCTGATGCCTAAAGCCATTTTCAGTCACCATTTTGATGTCTAATGAGAGGAAACCCCATTGACCTGGAACCAAGACAGGCGTGGAGAGGATGACGACAGTTCAGAGCTCCCCGTCCTTGAAACCTCCAGTTTATTTCCTGGCATCAGGCTGAGAATTGTAGTTCACACAACTACGCAGCAAGTTCCAGATCTTAATGTGCTGAGCATATTTGGCATGTGCCCAGCCTGTAGTGCATTCTGGTCAAGGATCATGGAATCAGCTTGCTTACTCTCACAGGGGTTTGCTGGTTAAGTATGCTGCCTTCCACAATCATGTAATTTTTAAAATATTCTGATGTCATCTCTCATCGTTTTACTCCTCCCTCCTTGTAGAAAAAAAAAAAAAAGAAAAAAAAAGTCATTTTTGGAGCACTTTTCACAGAGAAAGAACAGGAAATGAACATAGAATGAGTATGTGAAACAATCACTTGTCCCTAAAATCTGAGATACTTCAGCAGTGTCAGACAACCCATAGGACATAACAATTTTTCCTTAAGGTCAAACACGTACATCACATGGAAAAGCTGGTCCTTTGGAAGTCAACAAGAATCATCCTCCCCATAATGCCCCTGGCTGGCTGGCGGGCGGGCAGAAGGAAGGAAGGCTGGCTATCCCTTCCTCTTCTCCATAACTCAGTATCTTCAACTCTAAAGTTGTGAGGCCTGTTCACTCTTTTTAGGACATTTTAGTTTCATTCTACGATTTGATACCTACAAATTTAATTAGTTGAAGGAACCTAAAAGATCTTCGCTCAGCTACACCTTCTTCCACTACACTTCTTCAGCTTTACTACATACTATGCACTGATTTGCACTGAAAGCCAGAGGATACCTTGGTAGCATTTGTTTGGGGATTATATAAGGAAGATGAACCAACTGATACTCATAAGAATTCAGAATAACTGACTCAAGTTCTGTTACCTGGCAAATCATTTTTTGATTTTGGGAGGTTTTTTTGATCTACATTTGGAAATGTTTGTGCCTGGATTACTCTAAAGTCAAAAGGGAGTCTAAAATGGACATACTGAGAGTACAAGCAGTTTGTATATTTTTGTTTTAATATTTTCTGCATTGTATTTTTATGGTTTTTATGTTCCCTAAGACCTCATTAGGATAGCTGAGATCAGATGGTATAAACCATGAGTTCTGAAGAGAACAAAATTGTTGCTTCATGCAACTCGTTGCTTAAATCTGCCTTATATGCTACAGTGCCAGAAGAATGGAAAGTGGAAAATGTGACTGTTAAAAGGACTCCTCGGCTCACCCAAATCAGTGTTTGATGTCTGTGCCAGGCAACTTACTGGAAACTATAATAAAGAATAGAATTAGTAAACTGACTGACATGTTGGAGAAGAATCAACATTGCATATCAAGTAGGATGTCATGTTTTGCGAACCCATTAGAGGTTCAAGGAGTGATTTTTATGTAGATAAGGATGGTTCCAATAATATTACATACCTGTATTTGCAAAAAGCTTGTGACCTGTTCTTTCACCATAGGGTCTCAGAGTGTATGAATAAAAGGAAAAGGATAAAAAAACCCTCTAAAAGAAAGGAAATGTCATTAGATTACACAATATAAAGCAGTTTCCAGAACCCATGAAAATCTCTGTTGTTCAACATCTTCAGATATTTTATGGAGAAGTTTAATGCCATGAGGACACTTGGCAGATAATACAAAATTTGTTTGAACAGTCAAATCTTAAACTGGCAATCAAGAATTTCAGAAGACTTTTAGAAAAAATAATTACTTTTCTGTTGGCTTAGTGAGCTGAACTGATTTGCCGAGCGGTCACATCAGGGACAAAATCACATAAGGACTGGGGAGGGACAAAATGTTCATCCAGGGATAGGGTGGAAGTATGGAGAGAAGGAAGAGTGGGACAACCTGTTCTGGTAGCCAGAAGCTGATAGATTAGCTTGGCCATACTGCTTGATAACACTTTTAATGTGACAGGGTGATAAATGACAACTGAGATTTAATACACGGACATGCAAAGCGATGCACCCATGGAAGACAACCCTCACAATATGTATCCACTGGTAATATAGTAGCTCCATTCAGGAAAGAGGTCTCAGACCTCTTGTTCATAGCTCTTTGAAAAGAACAAGTCAGGAAGTAAAAAGGAACCCATGTAATAATCAGAAAGAGTAAGAAAAAACAAAAGTAAGACAGAAGCAGGACAGGGCCACTGTAAACTCACATCTTGACTATTGCATGTAGTTTTGTCCACTTCATCTGAAAAGAAGTATAAATAGAAAAGATACAGAAAAGGATGAAAGCAAAGACGAGGAATGGCTTCTGTAATGAGGGGCTCAGGCCGCAATCCCACAGCAGCCTGTGGATTTACTGCTGCAACCCCACTTCACGCTTCTTCGCCCTGTCACTGAGCTGGTTCAGCACAGTAACCTGGTAGAAAACATACACGCACTAAAAAAGGGTGAGTTTCCTGCCAGGTGAGCGAGCTGAAACGGCACAGCCACATCTCCAGACATGGGCAGGGGGATGAACGACATAGGGAGGAAAGTGGCAACCAGTCCTAGGAAACGTCTGCCTGCAGCTGTAGCTTCACAAGCCATTTTGGCTCAGCTCTGCTGCTGAAATTAGCAGGCCCATGCTCCCTTCGCTTGTGGCTACTTGCTGCCACTCATGAAAGCCTTTCCCTTTTGGGTTTTTGTGCTGCTGCACAGCAACTCAGTGGGGGAACTGATCCGAATTAAAAAAAATAGTTTTTGTTAGGTTACTCTGATTGGGTTTGCTGCATGCCAGCACAAAAAGCAGATGTGACCAAAGGACAGAAACAAGTAATGGGGACTGGTGGGACTGCTCCTCTGAGCAATGCCAGCTCAAAGGGGTTTGGAAACAAATAATAGACCAAAGCTCCATAGTTTAGGGAAGGGTATGCTTCTGAAATCGTATGAGAGAGGTCTATAAAATGACATGGCAAAACCAAATAGAGCATGATTATTCACTATGTCTTAGATTACGAAAATTCAAGTACCCTATAAAATTATTAAGTGCTGGATTCAAAACTGGTGGGGAAAAGTTCCTCTCTAGCCTTTGTGCACATTTGGGACCTTGCTGCCACTCATAGAGGCCAGAAGTACCAATGGATCAAAAAGCTTTTTGAGAAATTCATGAAGAAGAGGCACACTTGTGGCTGTTAGCGTGACAGTGGACACAGTTGTTATCTAAGAGACCTCTTCCTCTGCACTTCAGAAGCTGAAAACAGAAAGAAAAGACCACTCCATGGCGGTTTGTGTTTCTATATCTCTTACCTACATGTCTACTATTGTCCATTGTCAGGCAGAAGATACCAACCTAGGGATGATTGCTTTGAACGAATAGGCTGGCTCTTATGTTTTCATGTACTTTACTTCAACTACATGTAATAGAAGTACATTGTTTACATTTGCTGCATTATATTTGCAGTAATTTACTGTGGAGACATGAAGTCTGTATTAGAGATGCCTGAATACTAAAATTGCACTAGACAAGTGGTTTTTTTTCACAGGAGTTATGCCATTAAAGTTGTCTAGAAGAATGTATAGAGTTGGTGTGGCCCGTTAGCTGTCACATTTCCCCGTCTGCAGGGCAGTACAGGTAAGAGGGGTAGCTTTAAAGCGGTGGCAATAGGCAGCCTAAGCGCAGCTCTGAGCTCTGACCCCACAGCTCCGGGTTACAGCTAACAGGGCTTCCCACATCGGACGTGTCCTGTGTAACTACGGACGGACAAGGGGCAGTGAAGGACGGCTTGCAACATATTGCTGTGAGCCGCATCCATCGCGTTTCCTGAGGAGTTTATCCCAAAATACTGGAATAACCTGAAAACGTAGTTGCGAAGACAATACGTACCGGGGTAGGGGGAGAACCCGGTGCCTCATTAGAGGCAGGACTGGGTTGGGTTTGGTGCCCGCTTGTCCCTCGGCAGCGCCGAGCCCCCGCGGCACC